GCATGTGTAATAACACGATTGCATGTGTAAAAGCATTTTATCTTCTCATTTTCTTCTTGCTAGCCTTTCATTTTTATTTATTATACTTGTAAGGTGCACGCAAAGCAAAATTTTAGCAAAATTTTTTTTTCGATAAAAGACACATATTCGGATTTGCCAGAGCATGCTGATCACGAATATGACCTTGAAAGTTGAAAAAAACCTTTTTTTCGGGGAGAAAAATGCAAAATACTGAAAAGGTCCAAAAACTTCGAAAATTCTTGGCCTTTCGAAAAACACTCATAACTTTTTATAGAAAGTAGCTACAGGCTCAAACTTTTTTTTGTTCGATTCCTCGTCGAAAACTGGGTATATCCATACTAGTTTCAGACTCTTAGACCGTAATTTGAAATTTTGGCGCTGCTCGCGATAGAAAACCCTGAAAAATGAGACCCCTCCGCCAAAAACCTATCTAGTTTTTTTGGTGAGGAGCTAACTCATTGAATTTTATGCCATTCGATAGCTCTATACTTCAGCTATAGCCGTAAGGAGGGATTTTGGGAACAAAATTTTTTTCGTTGAGAAATAGCATTTTTACTAAAAATCAAGAAAACCCCAAACAGTGCTTTTTTCGACTGTATGCTATTTTTAATTTTTAAACTTTTTTTTGAGTTTTTGGGAGGTCAGGGTTGAATTCTTATGTATGTCGCATGTGTATATCCCTGTATATATGTTTTATCTGACCGCACAGTTAAAAAAATGAGCGTGATTCTGCAAGTTCCTTGATGAATGAAACATTTTCACGCGGGAAGTGAAAGTCTTCAGCGGGGAAAAAAGCACTTTTCCCGCCGCATTCTGCAGTAATCTTTTGAAAATCTGAAAAACTCTATTCTTTTCTCAGGGAAAATTCCCGTCGAGTTTAAGACATTCACGGCGAAAAATCTCGGCAAAATTCTTCTCTTTTCCCGATGTAGTAGAATTCTGCAGAAATTTTTCATTCGTGAATGTCTGAAATTCGCGTAGAATTCTGCGGAAACATTTTTATTGAGGAAATACAAAATACCCATTCTTTATGACACACCCATCAGGCCAAAAGTACGTTTAATGGAAACAAAAACACAAAGTTGTGATGAGTTATAGGAAGTTAATGTGAACCAGTTGTGTTTTAAGCAGGCTAGGATTTTGAAAACATCCAAAATTTTCAAGAAAATGTAAATCCCTAATTCCAGGTAACTGCATGAAATTCAGTAGATAGTTATCGAAATACGAGTTAATTCTTATTGTTATTCTGTCTGTTGATGCGTCGTTGCATGAGCCATTTAATCACGAATTAATTGACAATGCACGTTCAAACGGTCGTACATGGTGTGTAAGGTAATTTAAGCTATGTAAGCAAGACACTATGACTCAAATACTAAGGCGACGAGTAGATCTAAAGAAAGCAAGAAAATTTCACCAGGCAGTTTTCAATCAAAATGAACTAATAATCACTTGTTATTCCATTCTTACTTGCTTCAGCATGATTATAACAAATAAACAGTTAATAAAATATCGGCAAAGGAAAGAAAGCATCTCAGAGTACTAAACAGTCAACCATATATGTACTGTATTGTCCTTCACTGTACTGAAGCAGAATGATATATAATTTAGCATATTCTAGTGTATGCTATTACTAATGATTGATGGAGAGTAGAGGTAAAAATTCTCATCAGCCGGTTGGTTTTTCCTTCTACGAAATGAAAGCAGTAAAATATGTTATGTGCGACAAAATCGGTAACTTTTACTGCATCCCTGTGACGACAGTTTCATTGGGAACCAGAACACAGCCTTGAACTGTTCAGAGTCAACATTTAAATTGAAAATATCAAGTATAAAAACTTATACTGAACAAATCAGAGAATAAACGAGAATCTCCCGTGAATTCCCGTTCATTACCACTTAAGTAAACAGATGTTCTATTCTTGTTTATTTATTCAATAGAGTAGAAAACAAATTATGTGCATACAACTCCAACATGCATAGTCTGTTTACAGTATTGGCTGCTGTAGAGAGGCAAATAAGTGCAACTATTCAAATCGTTGGCTGTAGCAGGACAAACTAAATTGTCCAGGAGAAATGTATATGGTAATGACGTTGTATCTCCAGCCCACTGGAAATGGCAACCAGTCGTAGAACTTTCTTTCCAGTCAATATTTGTCTTGAATGATGCCTGCTTTTTACGCAGGGATCGACAAACAACATCGGCAGCACGCGCAGTGAAACCTCGTTGACATACGAGCCCATCGATCGTGAAACTCTCCGACTTGGATCCTTTCATTTCCACTTCAATACGAACACGTAACGGAGAGAGAGCAACCACACTAATGTTCCTCACCACACGAGGATATATCAGTTGATTGTAAATAGTCTGACAAGTGGGAAGAAGTCAGACGCCTCCTTCGTTACCATTATCAACATTTGACGGGAGAATGCTGATATCGGAAGATCCCCAAACACAATTCATACAAACAACAATCAGTATGTATAGAAAGAACAGAGCTTTTGTGTTACGTATGCCTAAAACATAAAACGAAGAGGTGAAGTAAAACAAGATACGTTAATTAGGTAAGTTTCTTATCAGAACTATTTTCTGATAAACTTCTTACAACACTCTTACAGATCCTATGGAGAGTTTTTACAACAAGATTTTGCAGGATATGCATCGTAGGCGTTCTGATTACGATTTCAAGAGCATACAAAAACCACGGTTTTATATGAAAATAAACTACACCTTATGTTGATGAAAAGGACTTTCCACACAAATAGCTATTCAAGTTTTGTGCAAGCCTCTGTGACCATAGATCTAATATGACTTGCTACGATTTCTTATATATATTTTCATGACAGAATACTGTCTTGATCCTGTGCGTTACTATGATAGGCTAACATTTGATATTAGATCCTACAGCATTCCAGCCCTCTGGTAGGATCCTACAAAGGCGTACCGTCCAAGAGTTTTGATCTGAGAAAGTCATTTGAAATCCTAAAGAATCGCCTGATTTCTTACCATTGATTTAACGAGAAAGCACGGAATATATATAATGAAGAATGGGAGCGTCGCGTACTGAGAATAAGAAATCGTTCGGATGGAGAATTACAAAATAGGCCTCCTATACTTTTCTCAGTGCGCGACAGTCGAATTTTCGAACGGTACATACTTTAAACTGATTTCACTTACTGTTTTGCTGTGCTTGACAAAATTTAATTCTAAATGACTCTGATTAGTTATATATATACAAAATCAAGCAAATAAACTTTTCTGCGAAAATACGATTTATTATCATCAGCTTTATGTACTCCAAATACATCGACCATCTACGGATGAAAAAGATTGTTTTCTAAGCTAACAATATTTCCGAAGACAGGTTTCTGCTTCAATTTCCCAAGCTTCAAACTGGCCGAAACTCGGCGAAAATGGTTGTCTATATGTCTCGCATCGGTAATATTAGTGGCAAACAGCGTCGTCTTTCGAAGAGCTTAGTATTAGGCTTCTAGAAAACCATGGTTTTCAAGATAAATTCCCTTTTCAGGCCAAAAGTACATTTAATGGAAACAAAAACACAAATGAGTTCTAGAAAGTTAATGTGAACCAGTTGTATTTTTAGCAGGCTAGGATTTTGAAAACATCCAAAGTTTTCAAGAAAATGTAAATCCCTAATTCCAGGTAACTGCATGAAATTCAGTAGATAGTTATCGAAACACGAGTTAATTCTTATTGTTATTCTGTCTGTTGATGCGTCGTTGCATGAGCCATTTAATCACGAATTAATTGACAATGCACGTTCAAATGGTTATACATGGTGTGTAAGGAAATTTAAGCAGCATTGGCTAGAAAAGGATGAAACAGTTACAAATGTTACAATGTTTACAGTTACAAATGTCTCAATCTGTATGCTGCGAGTGCAATGCTTTATCATATACCGGAGAGATGAAACAATTCAAGTGATCTGAAGTTCCCAACATCAAGTTTCTTATAGAGTCGATAACGAAGCATGATGGAATAAGCGTCTTTCTTCAGAAAATGTGCGCAATGACCGACTGCGCGGGGTGCGACGTTGTCTGTCTTTCAGAGTTAATAGAAAAATTTTGAAAAAAATTTAATTTAAAATATACAGAAGAATATTTTGAAAATCAGACAAGCATTCTGATCCATCTTCCGATTTTTGATCATCTAAATATTCCGACGGTGCTATTAATTTGTTGTTGTTCATAATGAATGATGGATTAATTTTCATTGATTTATACGTTTCAAACATGCTAGTTCATCATGATCCATATCATCCTCTTCTAAACCTTGAAATGGCATTTGAAATATGGCACTAGATTTAACATATAACTCAGTTTGATCATAATCTAATTTCACCAAACAACGTTGTGGTTCAGGACTAAATTGTATTTCTAATATTGTTGCTTATAAAAAGTCGATCCCAGGAACGGTTGTACATTTTTGATCATAAACCATCACTATTTGATGAATGTGAAGTTGTCCACCCCAAAGAAATTATGTGGCCTGAAGATGGTGAAGTATGGTTTTACTATGAAATAAAACAACAACGTCAACAATTTATTCGATCAAAACCATCTCATTTACTATGGTTATTTTTTGACTGAGCTACAAGTTTTTTAAAATGAGGACTAGAACTTTAAATTTCAATTAAAATTTAACCTTAATTAATTAATAACTTTGTCAGTAGTTATCAGTTCATCGAACGAACTTAAGGATATATGTAATCAGGTGTCCTCTTTATACTGACATAGTTTGAGGGCACATGTTTGGGACAGGGGTGGAATTTCCTGTAATAGTTAACCATTTTTTCAAATGAAATTGGTTCAGCTGTTGTTGGTACAGACATGTTAATGACTGCTTTAGCATTTTCTGGACTGCGTTTAGTTCCATTCTCATCAATTAGGTGCCCTAGAAATATAACTTTTCTCTTTGATTTTTAAAAAATTTTGTTGCATGCAAATTAACATAAAAATATTTATATTTCTTTTAAATGTTTAATATGATCTTCTGTTGTTTTAGAATAAAGAATGATATCATCTAACACACATTTTCTAATTTGATTTTTAAATGATGCGTACATAATTCGTTGAAATGTTGGTGATGAATATAGCATTCCTGGAAATAATCTATTAAATTCATGAAGACCTTCATCAGTGACGAATGCTGTCTTTGATTTATTTCGCTCACTAATAGGCATCTGGAAATAACCCAACTTAAAATCTAATTTGGTGAAGCACTTTGAACCGTGTAATTGTTCAACAGTATCATCTGCTCGTGGAAGAGGAAATAAATCTTCTTGAGTAATTTTATTAAGATTACGCTAAACTACCCAAAATCTATATGTACCATCCTTTTTACTAACTACAACTGATCATAATGAATTTGATGGATGATTTCGAAGATTTCTCCCCAAAAACTTGATCAAAACTCGATGAAAAGGCGATATTCGGAATCAACTCGACGAGCACTATCCAACCATGTATGTTTTGAGGAAATCTATTTTTCTGCTTACCGTTCGAATTTGGAGCAACTTACGTCTGTTTATTAATCGATCAAAAAATCTGCGCAATGGGCGACTGCGGGGGTAACGTTGTCTGATTTTCAAAATATTCTTCCGTATATTTTAAATTAAATTTTTTTCAAAATTTTTCCATTAACTCTGAAAGACAGACAACGTCGCACCCCGTGCAGTCGGTCATTGCGCACATTTTTTGATCTATTAATAAACAGACGTAAGTTGCTCCAAATTCGAACGGTAAGCAGAAAAATAGATTTCCTCAAAACATACATGGTTGGATAGTGCTCGTCGAGTTGATTCCGAATATCGCCTTTTCATCGAATTTTGATCAAGTTTTTGTTTTGTTTGATCAGGGTTATTGCGCAGAGCCTAGCCAAGATGATCGCGCAATATTTCTTATATAAATAGATCAATTTATTTTTAAAAGGATATATTTTTCATTTTGTAAATAAACGTTAGGTGAGAAAGATCTTAGTTCACTCGCGAACCTAACATTGGTGCACTAGCCAGATTACTGTCTAGACAACATCACAGTAATAGAATCCGAGCCAACATTAGTAGAAAACAACATGGATCATACAATGATTGACCAGATTATAGCCAATCTACTCCGGAAAACGTTGGAAACACAAACACCAAAATTTTCTGGTAGCAAAGTGGAAAATGTTACTGATTGGGTGAAGACGGTAACAGTTGAAGTCAAGTTGGCCCACTGTCCAGAACATGAAAAATTAGATTGGGTTCCAACATTTTTACGTGGAGAAGCATTACTTTGGTGCATGAAGAGGAAGAATGATATTCAAACCTGGAGTGCATTTATCGAAGCAATGCAAAACGAGTATTCAGTGAAAGAAAAACAAAGTCAAGATACAGATAGCCAAAGAAAGCTTCAACCAATGTTTATCATCAATAACAGCTGCAACGAACGTATGATCAATACTCACTGGAGACGATAGTCTTTGAAGAAACAACAACAGTGATGGACACAGAAGAATTAGAATGGCCGAAACAAGGTGAACCATGGGCAGATTCTGAGCTAAAAGAACAAATGGAAAGATTTCAAAAAACACCAAATAGTGAATATAATATATTAATTAGTCACACACAATTATCAACAACATCAGCAGAAGATGAAGAAGAAATTAATGATGACAAACAAGTACAATTGCCAAGTGGGACGATGGATAAAGATCGTACGTTGTTATTGTCAAAATTATATGATGTAATGAAACAATTCAGATTAAAAAGAAAATCACAATCAGTACCATCATCGTGGTCGTTATTACAATTCGCACTCTCTAGCACTGGTTTATCATGCCCATGCTTTCACAATGGCTCAAGTGGTGAAGACAGTCTACTGAGTGCTGTAGATCCCGAATTCCCGAGACGGGAATTCATTTAAGCGTCGGGAATTCGAAAATTCATTTATTGGAAAATGCATTTATTCCTTATTCGGGAATTCGTTTATTCATTTCTAGGAGTGAGGAAAACTGAAAAAGAATGGTTCTGACAAGTAGTGTACGAATGATATTAATTTTCGTTAAAATAGAAAGAAATGATTTTCGCTTAGTGAATTGCCTTTAAGTTGACTGTATAGTGAATGATCTGTTCTTCGTATTTTTCTTCTTTCAATGGGAAAAAAGAATAGTCCAACGAAAGTACATTATGTGTGTTCATGTGTCACCTTGACTTTGATGAATTTGCATAGGACTGATGGAACGGCTAGCGCGAATACATATACTATGGAATGAAACAAAGGTCTATATGTACGACTTGTTTCATACATCAAGCGTTTCAAGAAGCCGAAAACGATACAGTCAAAGTCGTTTCCACTCCCACGGAAATATTTTGTGAGAGTGAAGGATAAAATATCTTTTTCACTGAAAAGAGAGAACAGAATGAACATGCATGTGAAGGTCATAATTTTCAACCGACGAGTTGTGTGGGCAGAAGAAAAAGAAGAAGCGATTGAGTTAAAATATCAGTGTTCTACCTTCCATTGATCAAAAAGTGCCTTGTATTGGTCTAATAAGAGAACAACACTAAAGTGATCTTTCTTTTACACAATCGTCTGTGCGGTGGATATCTGAAAACAATTATTGTTCTATTCAATCATTAACGAATTTCTTACTGTATTTTTAAAGTCGGAGTGGTATCAGAAATGAATACACTTTCTGCAATGCTGTTTTATGGGCATCAATTAGTTTCTTATGCATGGGCAAGCCGAAATGATTTGAAGTATTAAATCTTTATCGCGTCTCAATTAATTCTAGGTCAAAAAATAGAAGAACACGTTTTCCCATTAGAAGAACTTTCGGCTCCATCTGATAAAGCGACAATGAGAATTGTACTGCATTCATACGGATACAACATCCCTTGCAACACCCAATATTTCTGAAATTCTTTAAACGCTATTAAAACAAAAAGGATATGCTGATAAACCAAGAAGCCAAGCAAAATTATTACATTGCAACAATGTACTTCTACTATTATACTGGCTTGTCGTATATTTCTTATTCTAACCGTGAACAGAAACAAATTCTAATGATAGACGCTTCTGTGATTTTTCCGGCATTCGTGGAAGCGCACATTCATGTTTTTAATTGGTGTACCTTCAACGTATTCCGAAAGCTGTAGAGTCACTCACTTCCCCGATAGAAATAAAACTATCTCGAATCATTTCGACCTTCGAGGCATTTAAAGCAAGCACCACTCCAATGTATTTGAAGTTTCTCGCAATTTATATATTTATATTTGAATATATATATTCAGTGACCTTTGCACTTATAATTACTCCTACTACTGAGATATTTCGTGTGTGCCAGAATGCAATCAAACACATACAACCTATCTTGGTGTATTCTGGTAGATAAAGAACCGAAGAGAAGAAATCTATTAAATACTAGTTGTGTTCGGAGTTTATCACAATTTGTCTTCAATCGATTGACATTACATCTAACACGATTTTTTATAATATCTCTCAATAAATCAATGTTTTCGAACTTTAGAAATTCGAATAGAAACTGCATATCAACTACATCAGATACATAAATATGATTTGTATGATACACAACAATTCTTCGCTCTCTCTCATTCACTCGCTTCTCTTTTTCCTCTTGGTATCATCGTATTGAGTATGGGCTTTTTCCTTTCGTCTCTCTCCTGTGCTAAAACTATAACTACAAAGGTAATTAAATATATATTAGACACATGCAGGATATAGTACGAATTTAATTTAAACCAATCAGTAACACTCGACTTTTTCGACACTTTTTCCTTGTAACTCAGTTTGATTATGTACTGAAATTTTGTATACGAAAGAACCATCAAGGCAAATTTCATAAAAAACATATCTATCTATACATCAGTCTTTTCGAACTTTAAAAAGTCGAGTGCAAACTGCATATCAACTACATCAGATGCATAAATATGATACACAATAATTCTTCGCTCTATCTGCGTCGCTCAACTACCAGGTCCTGCAAATGTTTAATATATGTTCAATTGCCTTTGCAGTTATAGTTTCAGAACAAGAGAGAGACGAATGGAAAAAGACCATCCTGAATACGATGATACCAAGAGGAAGAAGAGAAGAGAGTGAGTGAGAGAGAGCGAAGAATTGTTGTGTATCATACAAATCATATTTATGTATCTGATGTAGTTGATATGCAGTTTCCACTCGACTTTCTAAAGCTCGAAAACATTGATGTATTGACAAATGTTAGAGAAAATCGTGACGCATATAATGTGCATAGATTGAAGGCAAATTGTGATAAACTCCGAACAGAAATTACTTTACCCTATTCACAAAAGCCTCAACAAGGTTATGCAAAAGTGAAGAAATAATATCAAGTGACTCACTCTCACATCCTCCACCACCCTCCGCCCCCCGTAATATGAGAACAAATGGAATGGATAAGAAGATGATACTCTTTCTCGACCATGTTAGCTTTTTCTGTCTGTCTTTTTGCTTGTCTGATTATGCTGCTTTTTATCATAAAGATACGTAAACAAATAAAAGTTGGAGCATACAAAGAGCTTTTTGAATTGTCATTAAAAACATCGGTGTTGTTCAAAGAAGCTGCGTAAGCTAACACACAAGTTTGTTTATAATAACGGCAACACAAGTTTTTTACCGTATAATACAAACATCAAATGCTCCTAATGCAAGTAGCAAGAAATATACTTGTTCCCATTTCATCAATCTGTATGCAGTTGTAGACAGATAGTCATCGGCAAGACTTGGGCTCCACAGAGAGTATCTTTGCTTCTTAGAAGTTCACACTTTCTTGAATGAGTTGCTCAGATTCATGGATAAACATCCTAAACTGTCACGCTCAAAAACAAGAGCGAAAGTGCATTCATCACTCTAACATCTACAATCTCCGATAAGTTTCCCACGACAAGTGGTGTCGAAGTTAATGAACGATACCCAGATTAATGAACGAGGTTATTTTGCTAATTGTATTATATCCTGTAGAAGGCATCGAATGCTATCAATGCCCTAGTTATAATAGAAAATAAAAACATTGTTCATCACCAACTGTGTTTCAGTTAACACCAAATAGGGAAAGTATAATTAACCTATAAATGGATGAAAACAAAACCGAAAATCTAACACATGTTCTGATCGTGTAGTAGTCACTCAGAAAACTATCATAGTTAGCCTAGTTATAGATAAATCCGTGTGTGACATATTTTATCAGAAAAACTTAGGATAACTTAAATTCCTATCACGTTAACAATGCCATTTAACAAGGTTTCAAATTTTCGATACTACATCTCAAGTTGTGTACTAGTTTGATATTTTAGGCAACAAATTGAAATAGCATTGAAATTTTATATTTATCGTAGGAGAAAATGATTATAACTCTCATAATTAGCGTTTCCAAAAGTGAGCAAATTTACCTTAGGATATTATGACAATTTCCAGTTAAGAGTAGCATACATGTCTTTTTTTCTTTCTTTCAGTTCTCTCTAATGAACCTCCTGTTTATGTCGTTACGTGCATTATACTTTTAAGAAATGATAATTTATAGATATTCATAATATGAAAAATATTGATGGAAGGAAAGAGAAAGACTGTTAGTCATTTATTGATATTCGATTTCGACTCGACTGAAGACAAGAAGAGCATCACTGGTTTATCTGACGGCAGCGATCAAATAGAAGAAGTGAAGATGGGTATATATTTACTGGCAGGTATGACCTAAGAAGAATTGAAGATAAAAAATACGTATGGAGGGTTCACATGTTGGATTGTTGGATTTACCCGATGAGATATTGATGGCTATTTTGAAGAAATTGGACAATGTCGAAGTACTTTATTCTTTAATGAGTGTCAATATACGACTTGATCGAATTGTACGTGATTCCATTTTTAATACTCAAATTTCATTAATAAAACCAAACTCATCAATTGATCTTACATCTTCGCTACCCGATATAATACTTGATCAATTCTATTTACACATATTACCACAAATTCATCATCAAATCGAATCGTTCAATCTTGAAACATTTTCTATGGAACGTATTCTTCTGGCTGCTAACAACTATACTAATTTACGTCAACTGGATATTTTTATTATTAATGAAGACAGTGACATACATTTGTTTACTAGTAAGAAATTTGACTTTGACTATTTTAATTATCTAATCACAGATGGACATAAATATTAAGAGAAGTTTTCTCAGCCCATCGAGAATGACGGTTAAATGCCCAAAATTTACGTCTCTTTTTTATTCCATATTCTGAATCTACCACAAAAATTGAGTCTGAGCGAGTTTGGACGTAAATTGGCGTTGGCAGACGCATTTGAAAGTAGATCGCTTTAATTTTTTTGACTCGATCTCCATCAGTTTACCTCCTATTTGTTTGAGGTACGTCTCAAATGAAAGAGAGTCTAAAAATGACCACTGCGTACTATTTTGTTATGTAATAGCGTTTATTTTTCGCGACAAAAAGAACGAGTGTCACTTTTAAAATGATGGTTATTTGTGTTCTGGGCTTTTTTAAAGGAGAGTGCCTCGAGCCTTTAAACTACGTAGGTAGAGAGTTCAATTTTCCACAAACTATGGAAAAAATTGTCGGAACATTGTGATATCTGGGAAACAACAGCGATGCGCTATTTTCTCGGTTATAACAGATGAAAAAAAGATCTTCGCAGAAAAAAGTGATTCTTCACAATTCTAAGTCACTTCTCCATACTCATTGAATAAAATTGAGTATAGAAAAGTGTTTTCCAAAATTTTCTCAAATAACTTTATCTTTACTTTTGCTAATAACTCAGTTTACTCCTAGTAGTACTTATTTGTCTTACATACAATGATATTTTGTAGATCTTTCCAATCATCTGCTCATAACACATGTAGTTATGAATGTGAACAAGATTAACATAT